ACGGACGGACGACACACACACACACACACACACACACACACACACACACACACACACAACAAACAAACACACACAGACAGACAACACACGTACACACAGACAACACACACACACACACACACACACACACAGACAACACACACGTACGCAGACACGCATGCATACACACGCCACCTGGTGGGAGAAGAGGCGCTGAATGCCGAGGTCTGCGAGTGTGTGCTGGAGCGGAGATGGGAGAGGGCGTTCCAATTCTCCAAAGACGGGTGCACGTGCAGGTAGCGTCTCAACGTGCAGGGAATGGCCCTGTGCGGAGAGGAAAAGGTTGGGAGGGGGGTTGGTGTGATGGTGTGGTGGTGTGGTGGGTGATTGTATGGTCGCGTGAGGATTCGTGCATGAGACTGTGTGGTGATTGAGGTAGGTGTGCGCTTGCAGCAGCAGAAAATAGATGCAGTGGAAGTGGCTGTGCTCGTCGTACCTTTGCGAGGGGAAGTCGGAGCAAGTGGTCTAGGATCTCCTGTTGGTCGCAATGGCGGACAGAGCAGAGGGCACCGTAAGCGAGCACACAGATTTGCACACACACATACACACACACACACACACACACACACACACACACACACACACACAGAAACACACACACACACACACACACACACGCACACACGCACACACGCACACACGTACACACACACGCCCACCTTTGGATCGAACTGGGCTGGTGGCGTAGCCCTGTAGTCGCCCGTGTAGTTGGTGTATTGCACGCTCGCTGTCTTGCTCTCCTCGGCCTCGCGTTTCTCCTGTTCCTCAATCGACTCCACAACAGCTGGCAGTGGTGGTGGCAGCGAAGACAGGTCAAAGTCGGGGTGGAACTGAGCAGGAGACGTGAGGTCACCAGCGGTGCTGTCCGATGGGGCTCCCCGTGTCGCTGCGTCATCATCATCTCTGCCCCCGAGCGTACCTGCACACGCGAGTGGAGCACATGTGCATGTGTGTTATCAGCTAGCTGCCACGCAAGTGTCTATTGCGTATGCATGTGCGTGGTGATGTCGATGTCGACATCAGGTCACGCGTGGTCGCGGCCATTGCACACACTCACTGATAGCGTCGAGGAACTCTTGGTGCTGGTTCGCAATGTGCTTGTGCATTGCAGTGACAAGGGCACGCTGCCTGGCCATGGTGCTTCCTTTTGTGAACGGCCGCTTCATCTTTGGCACCAGCTGCAGCGGTGTTGGCCTCTGCAGCAAGCGCACGTGGGTGTGGCAATGGAAGGGCAAGAGGGAGTGGCGATGGTGGCGGTGAATGATGAGCGAGAGGCATCGTCAGTGGCTTCCAGTTGTGGACGTTTGTGCGCGTGTGTGCACGTGTGCAGGACGACACTCACTGCTGGGTGGGTAGTGGACGATGAGGATGATGTCGGAGGTCCCATGAAGCCCGCATAGCTGTCGTCAGCGCTGTTAGCAATGGTCGTCTTCCACCGCAGCTCCAGCTGCTCCGGCAACACTGACAGACATGACAACAATCGTGCGTGTGTGTGTGTGTACGTGGGAAGGGGGAAGGGAAGGGAGGGATGAGACGTACAGAGCCAGTCTCAGCCATGGAAGAGAGGTAGGCTCACATTCAGACAAGACAGACAGACAGACAAGACAGACAGACAGGCTGACATTCAGACAAGACAGACAGACAAGACAGACAAGACAGATAAACACACACATACATGGACACACACATACATGGACACACACACACACACACACACACACACACACACACACACACACACACACACACACAGAGCATGAGCGCACTGACTTGCGACGATGCGAGCAATGTCGTGCTTGTCACATCCTGCCGTGCGGGCAATCACGTCCGCGTCCAAGACCATATGCCGGCGATTGAGAAACGCAGCTACCGACTCCACTTTTTCTTGCACGCTCAGCAGCTGCTGGCACCATGCTGGCCACCCTGACGCCCCAAAGTCCAACTTCTCCTTCTCCTTCTTCTTCCTCCGCCTCCCCTGTCCGCCACCACCACCACTGCCGGCACCACGCTGTGTCTTCTTCGTCATTGTCCTCCTTTTTCCTCCACAACAACAACAACAACAACAAAGACAACAACGACAACAACTGCGAACCAGTCACACTCGTGTCTCTCTTGCTTGTTGTGCTGTGGTGTTGGTCGTGCAACACACGACGTGTGGTGGTGGTGCTGCGGTTCGGGTTGATGCTGGGGTGTTAGGTGCTGGGTGCTGGACGCTGGATGCTGTTGCTAACCCTGCTGTCGTGAAAGGTGGTGGTGGGCTGTTGGTGGACTGCGAGTGGGCTCCATTTCCACACTCGCTGCACCACAACACTCCAAGCAGGCGCAGACACAAACGCACTGGTGCGGGCAGCCACGCACAGCACCATGCCTCTGCAAGATGGCGCATCGTCTGTCAAAGTGTGCGTGCGTGTGCGGCCGTTCAACAGCCGCGAGCGCAAGCGAGGCGCAAAGTGCATCGTCACCATGAAGGACAACGTGACGCAGGTATGTGTGTGCATATGTGCGCATGTGTGTGTGTGTGCATGTGTGTGTGCATGTGTGTGTGTGTCTGTACATGTGTGTGCGTGTGTGTGCATGTGTGTGTGTGTGCATGTGTGTGTGTGTGTGCATGTGTGTATGATCAAATTGTCGTCGTGGGTATGGTTGCTCCGGTAGACATGTATGTGCTTGCCTCACATGAGCATGCACCACTGGGATCACCAGATTGAGAACCCGTACAACCAGCAGCAGAACACGTTTGCCTTTGACTTCTCTCACTGGTCACACGACGCCGTGAGTGCTGATAGCTGTGTGCTGTGTCGTGTATCATGTCGTGCCAAGTCGTGTAACGTGTTGTGTCGTGCCGTGTTAAGTAACACTGTGGCTGGCGAGCGCAAGCGTCCCAGCCATGCGTCTCAGCCAGCCGTAGCTCGACCACCACCCCTACCGCCATTGCCATCGCCACCTCCAAAGGCCACACTCGGTCGCTTACCCAAATCACTGATGTTTGGTTTCCGCAGCAGGACGATCGCGCTGCGTTTGCGGACCAGGCCGCCGTGTACACAGACGTTGGCAAGACGCTGCTGAACCACGCCTTTGACGGATACAATGCATGCATCTTGGCATACGGCCAGACCGGTGCAGGTGCGACCTTCACATGACGCTCATCTCCAAGGCGTGCCCATTTGCAACACACGCAAGCAGCGGGCTTGTGCTGCTGTCTTCCCTTTTGAGCGGTGAACATTTCTTTGTGCTGGACAGGGGACACTACTCCCTTCTCCACCAACTTCTCACCCTCGATGTCGTGCATGCTTCGTTGTGCTTGCTGTTGTGCTACGTACGTTGCCTGCCTTCCGTGCCTGCAGGCAAGTCATATACGATGATGGGCGACAATGCAACAGGAGCCGAGGCTGGCATCATCCCGCGGCTCTGCGAGGAGATGTTCCAACGCATCCAAACCCAACACAGCAGCAGCAACAGGTGTGTGTGTGTGTGTGCGTGCGTGCGTGCGTGCGTGTGTGTGTGGATGCGTTGAGTTGGTTGCATGTATGAGTGCTCTGTTGTGTGTGTGCGTGGTTGCGTGTGTGTGCGCGTATATGCTTGCCTCTGTGCTCGACAATGCGTGTATGTGTGCGCATGTGCTGTGATGCACATCTCACAACGCTCACACGAATACAACGCATGTGCCACATGAAGCGAGTTCACTGTGGAGGTGAGCTACCTTGAGATTTACAACGAGCGCGTATGGGACCTGCTCAACCCGACCAACACCACGTCCCTCAAAGTGCGCGAGCATCCGCTCACGGGCCCATATGTCGAGGACCTTTCAAAGCTCGCGGTCAGTGCTGCACCTGGATGTTTGTGAGGGCATGTATGTGCTTGCGGTTGTGGAAGTGTGTGTGTGCACACGTATGCGTATGCGAGGCGAGATGTGTGTGTGTGTGTGTGTGCGTCCTATTTGCACCTTCATGTGTTGCGGGTGAATACACAATCAGTGTCACAGCCCCTCATAGCCTCCGCCTCACCATGCTCACATGCCTCTCCCTTCCTTGCTTCACATGCCCCTCCCCATCTTTCTTCATCCAACCAGGTCACTTCTTACGATGACATCAGCCAGCACATTGAAGCTGGCAATCGCGGCAGGAAGGTCGCTGCCACCAATATGAACGCCCGCAGCTCACGGTGCGTTCGTAGCCCCATTACGTTGTGTGCTGCTGCCCCTTTCAGTGTTGTCAGCTGCTTGATTGAGCTTTGCACGCTGTGTCAGTGGTACCAGCAGGCGGCGTGCTGTCTTCGTCGTTGTTTTCGTTGCTGCCTTGGCTCTTGGTGTTGTGTTCACACTCGTCTCGCATCGCACGTGCTTGTACTGTCGTCTCCTTCACTGCAGATCGCACGCTGTCTTCAGCATCATCCTGACCATGCACGATGCACACGCGAAGAGGAATGGCAGCGCTGGCAAGGTAAGCTGCGCATGCGCCGTTCAATGCTTTAGTTGCACATGGACAGCGCCGCTTGGAGTACCACCACTCTTCCAACTCATCACACCACCATTATTGTCACCACCACCACCACGGTCATCACCACCACCACCACGGTCATCATCATCACCACGCAATACCACCGCCACGGTCACCATCACTACCAGGTGTCCAAGTTGAATCTTGTCGACCTTGCTGGCAGCGAGCGTGTGACGTCGACTGGTGCCCGCGGCGCTCGGCTGAAGGAGGGCGCAAACATCAATCGCTCCCTCACAGCACTCGGCAAGGTCGGGTGGGATCTCGGGGGCTCATGATGCTGGTTTGGGGCGTGGTGGTGGTGGTGGTGGTGGTGGTGATGATGAATTAGTCGGTGGTGATGAAGGGGATTGTTCAAGCACTGTGTGTGTGTGTGTGTGCGTGTGTGCGTGTGTGTGTGTGTGTGTTTGAGTACCACCATGCATGTATGGTTACTCATCTCTCCGAATCATCATTCGCTGTTATCCTCACCAGCAGCTCATGTCCACCCCTGTGTCCACCACTATCATCATCATCACCACCGCCACCACCATCACCGCCACCACTCGCCTCAACACAGGTGATCTCGGCGCTGGCAGACCGCAGCGAGGCGTCACGAGGGCGGAGGAAGCGAACACAGCTGGTGCCGTACCGGGAGAGTGTGCTGACGTGGCTGCTGAAGGAAAGCCTTGGCGGCAACAGCAAGACATCCATGATCGCAGCCATCTCCCCGGCTGATATCAACTACGAGGAGACACTCAGGTACGCGTGGAGTATGCGACGCGTGCGCGTGTGTTTGCGAGGTGTGGGTGCATGTGGGATGGTGTATGGCACTTGCAATTGGCGCATGTGCACGAGTGTGCAGGGTATTCGCCAATTCTTGTGCAAATGCTTACATTGTGTGTGTGTGTGTGTGTGTGTGTGTTCACTTAACAACTGCCACTTCATTGCCGTCAGCACGTTGCGATATGCGGACCGCGCCAAGCAGATTGTGTGCAAGGTGCGTTCATCCACGATGCCACCACGTGCACGTGGTCGTGTGTGAGTTTGTGTGTATGCCTGTGTACATGTGTGCATGTGTGCGCGCGTGCTTGTGTGTGCGTGCGACAGGCTTAAAAGCGTGTACAAGCTTGTGGTGCCGCTTAAATGTTTGCATGTGCCTCACACACATGCACCTCCGCCCGCTTCTCCTCTATGCGCATTCGTAAATTCACGTGTCCACATCACAGGCGATTGTGAACGAGGACCCAACCTCAAAGATGATTCGTGAATTGCAGCAAGAGGTGTTGCGACTGCAACAGCAATTACAGCAGCAGCAGCAGCACCAACACCCTGCTGCATCCCCTATGCAACGCAACGTTACGTCAGCAAACGGGGCGGTTGTGCCAGCTGCCGCTGAGCACGATGACAGCCAAGGTGTGTGCATAATCATTATGCGCGTGGGGGACACGCTGTCTTGGAGATGAATTTTTTTTTCTGATTGCATACTCGCGCATGACGTCTTATTCTTGACCAACGCTACGTTCAACACCCTCCTCTTTTTGCCTTCATCACCATCTTCACCATCATGCTCGCTGCCTGTCTAATGTTTGGTTTGCATATGCGAGCAGTGCTGGACTTGAAGGCGCGACTCGGTGAGTACCATGGCCTGCAGTGAGCAATCATGAATTGAATGAGAGCTGGATGCGAGCATCACTGCTTTGTTAGCTCGTGTGTCTGCTCAACCCTTCTCCTCATAATGTCGACAATGCCACCATGTGTGTGTGTGTGCATAGAGCAATCGCAAAAGCTGATTTCAGAGCTGACGGCGTCGTGGGACGAGAAACTGGCCAAGGCTGATGCTATCAAGCGCGCACGGCAGGAGGTGTGACTGCAGTGTGTCGCTCTGCATCAGATGCTGCGATTTCATGAGCTGTCTGCATGTACATGTACATGTGCAAGTGCATGTGCAAGTGCATGTGCATGTGCAAGTGCGCACGTTCGTTCAGACATGCCATAATGTTGACACTGCCACTCGCCTGTGTCTGGGGGTTCACCTTTGTCATGTCCACAAATCATTCTCTCGTCGCGCGCGCTGTGTCCAGGCACTCCAGTCGATGGGAATTCGCCTGAACGAAACTGGCGACGGCGCCGTTGGCGTCAGCGGACCAAAGTATGGTGCTTCTGTGTGTGTGTGTGTGTGCTTCTGTGTGCGTGTGTGAGTGTGTGTGTGTGAGTGAGTGAGTGAGTGTGTGTGAGTGAGTGAGTGAGTGTGTGTGTGTGTGAGTGAGTGTGTGTGTGTGTGTGTGAGTGTGTGCGTGCGACATGCTTCTTGTTGATTAGTCGTGTGGTCCTCCCCCATGTACACCTCTCATTTTGTCCCCTTCCTCCTCTCCCCTCCCCTCCCCCTCCTTTCACTCGACTGGTGACAGGGACCAGCCGCATCTTGTGAATGTGAGCGAGCGCTTACACGAGGACGAGCTAGTGCTCTATTATCTCACCGCAACAGAGACCATGTACGTACGCAGCACGCACGGGGGTGCGTTGACGACGACCGGTGCTTTCCCAGAGATTGAATGCGTTCCCTCACCTGATGGCAGAATGCGTACCAATTGCATACGTGCAAATATGCTCGCACGCTTGTGTGCGCACACATGCACGTACACACGCGCACACACACATGCACACATGCACACACAGCGCACCACATGGATCCCTTCCATTCCTCTCACCACCACCTCGGTTCCTCGCATATGCTTTTGAGCAGAGTCAACCCGACTCCGTGCGACAACGAGCATGATGGAAGGGGCAGAATACACGCACGTCCACACGATATCATGCTCAGCAGCTGTGACATTTTCCCACAGCACTGTGCATTTGTTAAGCAACAAGCAGGCGTCAGGTAAGCATATTACGCACATACACGTGACTCTCATCATGTTGCTTTGCTTGCTCTCTGAGCCACACCTCCCTTAACGCTCACGTCACACCACCACCACCATCACCACCACCACCATCACCATCATCACCACCACCACCACCACCATCACCGCCACCACCACCACCATCACCGCCACCACCATCATCATCATCATCACCATGATCGTTCACCATCATCATCATCGGTGATCATCATCATCATTCATCATTCTTCTTCATTATTTTTATCGTTTATTTTTTCTTTGTTATGATGTTCAGTCATGACGGTCGTTAGCATCATCATGTATAAGGTTTATTTCGATGATCTAGTCATCATACGCCACTACATTGTTAACATAATATATTTTTTTAAGACAAGAATAACGACACTAGCTATTATGACGAGGTGCACG